GGAGGCCGCGCCAAGTCACGCGTTCCACTTCACGCCGCGGACTTCGCAATTAGCCGAAGCTCGTTAGGGAGGCCCATATCCGCCGACACATCCGTCACAGTCCTCAAGGCTGTGTGGTCTCGCACACGTGTCCAAAGCAAGGGAACGATCACGCGAGCGTGGGTGGGTGGGGATGGTTGGGGTGAGCGTCAGCTGATGGGACGGACAGACGGACAGATGTGCGGCAAGTGAGACTTAGCGAGGTGGGCACGGGCGCTCCGCTCGGAAACCCGATTCCGCCAAAAAGCCACCGCGCCACCATGAGACGCTGCTCCCGAGAAGGTCAAGGCTCTGTCCACGTCACTCGGTCCGGATGGCGAAGCCGCCAGGTGCTGCGAGCTAATCGGTGCCGCTTAACGGGGTCGTGCAATCGTGGGTTGCGGAGAAGTGACCTCGGGGTTACGAACAACTCGCGAACACACACTGCCGTTTCCTGCCGGTTGATTTGGAAATAAAAGATCTTTCGGATGGATAAAAGTTTGATTTAAAACATGCTGAATATAAATTAAAATGTATACACTTATTATTTGGACTTGTGTAGGATTTAAATGCGACCACATCGACATGTGAGCGTGCAAAATAGCGAAGATCATAGTGGATGTAATATATTCTCAACATTTAAAAAATCCATTAGGCAGTATTTAGTAGGCATGTAATGGTCCATTCGTTAAAACGGATTTAGTAACGTTACATTTAGACCAATGATGCAACATAACTGAACAAAGTTAAAATTATACAAACAAAAGAGATATATTTTTCACCTAATGACGATTGCTTGCATTGCGATCGAAACGTCATATTTGTATAAAAAAAATTGTATCTACATAGCTTTACAGAAAGACCCAAATAATATAGATACATCATTGTTTAAACATTCCGGTGCAATATATGACCTCTAGTAGCTGCAGGGGTTTACAGGAACAAATTTCCAACATAAACGCTAAATAGTACATTCTTAAGCGCACAATCCTCTGCATATATCTTGAGCATAACATTCGATTTGAATCGAAGATTCTACACATCATTACACCTCTAATACCTTGTCACGTATTAACACACGCATTGGGTGGAGGATATTTGATGTGACACTGTGGTTATGTTGCATATCGTTCCTTCAATCCACATTCACCGAGTTAAAATCCCGGGACGAGATCAATGAACCTTGAGACAATATCTCCATCTCAGTGGGTGCATCACAGAAAGTCCATTGCCATATGGGCAGTTCCACGATCAGAATCAGAATATTTATTAATAGTGAAAGAATATGATGAGCTATAAAGTTATTTTTCACAGATATCTTGATGTACAATTCAGACACTACATAAGTGGGTAACCATTTATCACGAAGGTATACCTGGGCATAGTATGTTAACGAGTTATGACTTTTATCCAGATGTCAAATAATAAAATGGGCCACCCTTTTCAAGCGGGGAGAAATGTGAACACGGTGCCGCGGCGAAGGACGAACTCAGGCGAACCGACTGCTTCACCCAGGCTGGGACAATGACGACACATTTACTTTCACGTACGCGCCAAACCAGTGATTTAGTCCATAAACAAGCCGGATTATACAATTTTATTTTTTTACCACAACACTATTATTACCTTCAAAATTACACTCCAAATGTATTATTAGGATTTTTTTTTATTTCGACTGCGAGGTCACCCAATTTGCACAGCCACCAATTTCATCGCTTTGCGGTCGTGGTAACAATCATTCTCGCCATCACCCAACACTTGCAAAGTAAAACTTGCAATTTACTTAACCATTTTTCTTTGTTATAACCATCCGTCACCAACGCTGTGTGCCGAAAGCTTCCACGTGCCATGTTGATTTTGGGGTAGGCTTGATCATACTTAGCCGTGCTATTCCGGCGCAGGTTGGCAAAGGATTTGCTCAACCTCAGTGTGGGTTTGTGTGTAACGGTGCCCCAGGACCGGTTCAGACCTTCCCCACCACCGACATCAGCTTGTGCCTGTGTGGGGGGGGGGGGGGGGGGGTATCCGACTCGGCAACACAGCGCAGCGCGCTCAACCTCTGCGTCACCGCACCGCCTAATAATCGTTAACGACGATAACAAAAACAGCTTGCGAGTCAATCGTCGCGGCGCCGAGGGCCATATGGGAGGCCGCTCGCTTGCAGGGAGGTCGACCGGGAAAGCGGGCCCCCGTAATTTTAGCGCCTCATTCGTCACATCAAGGCCACACGGCAGTCCGCGGCCTAATTGCGGCCGAGGCCTTGGTCGCATTCACCCCCCTCCCCCCCCCCCCCGGGAAACAGCGTGGGGACGCCAGGCGTCGGGTGCAGCCGGGTGGTCCGGCCCGGGAAGGCCGAGCTCAACAAGGCTAATTGCGACCGCTCAGGTGCAGCTGTAAACCGATCTGCCGCCAAACCAAAGCTGACAAGTTCAATGTCACAGAGCCGGGGGTGATGGGATACGGGAGGGGTAAGGGAGGGGGGGGGAGATGTGGGGAGGAAGGAGGGCTGGTTCGTTCGTAGCTCAAATACCTCGCGGGCTCGGGACCAGATGTTCTCAATTGTAATGACGAAATAAGTGAGCACGTGCGTGCGTGCGTGCCGGTGGAAAACAGAGGAACCGGTTCGAAATATGCATACGCGCAAGCTAAGCGACACGAGTGCAAATTGAACATTTTAACAAGAAATGTTAATGGTTCAGGTTTAAACAATCGTTACGTAACGCCTTGAGAAAATCATTTGCGGCACATGTTGACCTGCAGGCATGGGAATGTTCATTTGGATCCCGATTTTTTTTTCTCTCAAATTAAAACACTCACCCCAAATGAGATGGCCGGGTGGCTTATGGAGATAACGTTCAAGGCGAAGCCTCGAACGCAATACCATTTAAATACTCGTGCTTAAAGACCAAAGGGGAGAGCTTTTGCAAAATAACAAAGCCTCCTGTACATGCAAAATAGATTGCAATGCAAATGCTAAACATCATGCGTGTAGAATTGTATCCGATTGGTGACTGCCGATTGCAGAAATATTAATTGACATGCTTCACATCTGGAGGATATCTTCCACCGATAATGTAACGTACAACCCTTTGTCAATCCACTGCTGGATGAAGGACTCGCCACGCCGTGTTGGTTTGGAGGTTGACCATGCTTCACGATGCTACTCAGTACAGGTTAGTGAAGGTGAGGGTGGCCTACAAGCCAGTGCAGATAACACTCGCCAACTAATGTCAGCTGTGCCAGAATTCAAACTTAGTTCGAAGGGTATACAGCACTGTGCACGTGGCACTGCGCCACATCTACCACGCCCTTTTCTGTCGATGGACTGGCGCAAATATTAATCATTTGTGTCCGTCACCAAGAACATCAACGGGCATGCTGGACTTCGCGACATCACAACGTCTGCACACACAGTACATGTGCGCACGCACAGCGATGCACGCAGTTATACACAGAGTGCCAGACTAAGGCACCTTTGGAGCTACTGCAGCTGACAATTGATGACCAAGGTTCATAGAAGCAGAATAAGGCACGTTAAGAATGATCAGGGTTCAACATTATTATCTCAAGCTCAGAGTTACACAAAGCAACCTACTGGCTTCTTGTTGATCAATAATGCCTGATGCTCATATAACCAGCCTAAGGTACCTTTTTATTAAGGCTAATAGTCATTGCCCAAGCTTTAGAGAACAAGACCAAGGCACGAGCTTAATTCTTAAGGTTCAGCATTAATCCCTCAGACTATGCAAAATTGGCAAATTCTCCGGATGACAGAGAGAGAATCAGAGGGCACTAAATTATACACGTCCATTCATGTCTTACACCAACAGTCTGGACCTGAAATATATGTTTTTGCTTTTAACTCTGATAAAAAAAAACAGGGCTTAAAACAAACCAGGGGACAAGGAAAACACTGGTCTACCGGACACTTGAGTTTTACAAGCGTTTAGAAAACACGGCAGAGAGAACGGATCTTTAACAAAGGTGCGCTGTGTTTTCATTTTTTTAAATAACCAAAGTGAGTACACCACATGCTCTGTGTGTCCTTCAGACCAAAACCCTCTGCACATCATGCACGCCAGCAGTTTTTATATGCACTACAATGCCAAATTATACAAGTCAGACACTATAACCGTTAAGGATAGACTTCCAGCCACACTAGTATTATGTATCGGCCTATGGAGAGAAATCAAAGATATGAAATATTACTTGTGTGTTCGGCAAACGTGAGCTTCAGATGTTTTGTTTAAGGTTACCACATGGTTTACTTTATGTAGGTATAGGAATACATTCATATTCACACTGGAAAAATAGCACATTAAGAGTATTGTTTCATGCAAGGGATGCGGGCGGGGGGGGGGGGGGTCAAGGTGGTAGGCACACTGCGCTGTGAAGTTGGTGAAATTAGTTCGAGACCAGGCCAAGGAAAAACATCGGTGGTTCGCGATATGTGAAACAATCCTACACCCCAACCCCAAGTTCAACAACAAGCATTGGCCAAAATGGTCAAATATGGTGAAAGAATCCACATGACCAACGTGGCATGCGGAGGCATTAATCCAGCAGTGGACTGACACAGTGAATTGTTACTCGCAACTGCACTTCAGTGAAAATGCCTTTTACAATTAAATTTTCAAACATACGATGTATTCATCACTGCAATACCTGTCAGATACTCCTTGCTAAATATATGAAGTATAATTTTAGAATTGTCATAATTTTTTTCCCCATAAAAAGCACACTCAGCAATAATCCAGATTGGCTGGCGGAAATAAAAAAAATATATAGAGTACTAAATTCATTATTTGGCTCTGCCAGGTATCGTGTATATATGTCCTATATGGACAGTAAAAGTAATGATCCACAACGCGCACAGGTTATTAATGGCCATGGAAAGCACAGCTCCATTCTCTCAGAGGTTCAGGTATCAAGACTCCCAGTAAGGCATTCCAGATGCCAGAGCAGCCGTTTCCCGTGCTCACCTCGCTCACGAGCAGAGTTCTTGGATCGATGATGTCGAGGAAGTGCCGAAGGCGTCCGTAGAATGTGGTCTGAAAATAATAACACGGTAACATTAATAATATAACAAAACATATTACGGTGATATTCAAAACCACTGACTGAGACAGAGCAGCGCTGAATGACCATCATCAGTCATCATCAATCCACTGCTGGATAAAGTCCTCGCCAAACCGTCACCATCTCTCATCATCACGTGATGTCATAATCCTATTGTGAACTTACGAAGCAGTGAACCATCGTGCCCCAGCCTACATCATTTACGTGCTGCACCCATGTCCCCTCAAGGTCCCTAAGATCTGGGCGTGATGCAGATCTTCTCTGCATTACCAGGTCGAGGTTTCGGTCTATGGGTGACCGAGATTTTTCCCCGTGTAGCCCCCAGACTATGGAACGCTGTTTCATGAGATATCAGGATGTGTGGACATTTTTAAAACGCGTCTTAAAACCTATTTATACGCTTCTGCTTATGAAGCTTTTAGTTAATTTAGTAAATGGATTATATTTCTTTTTAAATCCTTTATATTAAGTTCGCTTGCTTGCTTGCTTGCGTGCTTGCTTGCTTGCTTACGACCGTGCAAATCTTTCGGTCGTTTTTTTACCCACTTCCCGTGATCCAATCGAGCTGACATTTTGCACACAGACTCGTTGTGCGATACAATTAATGTTCGTGAAATTTTTTGTTACAAAATTTTACACTGTTTAGGGAAAACAAATTAAATATTTCATTACCAATTGCTTAATACTGGCAGACAATGATCTGACCCATAGGTGGCAGCCATCTCAAGCCAGAGGACGAGAGGACTCTAGCCGCCACGCATATAAAGGATTTATAGTGAAAAACTTTGTTTTTACGGGTTATATTTATTTTTAATGCCGAGTGTCTGCTGCTGCTGTGTCCTGTACAGCACTTTGAAACCCTTGATGAAAAGCCACTCTATAAATGGAATTATTATTATAATTAATCCACCAAGCACTTGCACTTTACTGCATCTCCTCGGTGGACATCTTCTCAGACACATCACGTTCCTTGGCTGCCACTGCGTTGTTATTATTATTCTGGACCATCGGCCAAGTGTTTTTTGTAATAGTCAATTCAATACGATGCCTCTACCATGTGTGTGTTGCGGTGGTACGCACCTGACAGCCTAAGATTTGTAGGTGGGCGTTGGTAAATCATCCAGAGATCCGAGTGTGTGGCGCGCGTGTGACTACCCGTTGCAGCGGCTACAAGGTGCCAGAAGGCAGTACAGCAAGTATGTTTGTGGCCTGTGTGGAATTTCAGTTATTCCTATTGGAATGCGTGTGTTTTCTCCAGGCACTCCAATGTAATTCTACGCACAAACATGTCCGAAACAAAATGACCAAACAATCCTGACAGTGTCCTCCTGAAAAACACGTCTTTAAACTCAACAGTAAGGCTTAGCTGAGCAAATAATTACGCCTTAGAAAAAAACGTTTTCAATCAGTGCAAACTTACTCTATTGAAGACCGCAAACAGGAAGACTTCACAATTCTGACAAATCGCCTGATGAAGCTGGTTGTAATCAGCAACAAATGTTCATGTTTTGTTCACTTGACAAACCTTACTAATTGGCCATGTCGGGTGGTAGTGGGTTATCGACACATTTGTAATTAGGCAATCTAACCCAAAAACCTTTATTATGAACAGTGCAAACTTCCTGCTATGACATATGGATCAACGAGATATGGTCACCGACAAAGAAAGTGGAACAAAGGTTGACAAGTGGACAAAGGAGAGCTATGGCGCACGCTTGTGGTCCCTCACAGAGAGACAGAGGGATCACATGGACCAGAGAACGTGCACAAGTTATATACATCATACTCCAAACTTACAATGTGGTGAGGCGCTCACCATCGGGCATATCACTGATCACTGGCCAAGACAACACGCGTATTCTGGTGGAACTCGCCAACTCCACTCAGCTACCCCGTATGATGTGGAATGGCTCGCAACGTACACGTAAAAATGTCAGTCTGTTGCCTTTTTCAAACGCCATACGGAACAAGATACTGTACATCATACGGACTCTGTGAGTGACGCATACCTGTCAACCCATACAGCTTACCCCGTATTGTTGTACAGGGAAATTTAGTTTTCAGGTCCATACGGCATGCAGCCGTTTCAATGTGGACTTTGCAAGATGGACGTTGATATTTATAAGGGCACGGAGTGACCATTAAGGTCTTAAGTGGTCTATCATAAGGTAGGCACTGATAAGGTGAGTGTCGTGGTGAGTGTCTTGGTGAGTGTAGTGGTGAGTGTAGTGGTGAGTGTAGTGGTGAGTGTAGTGGTGAGTGTAGTGGTGAGTGTAGTGGTGAGTGTACTCGTGGTGATTGTCTATTTGCTTGTGTTTCTCCCTTGTGATGGGACTTTGTAGGATGAACGTTGATATTTATAAGGGCACAATAAGGTCTGAATTAGTCTGTAATAAGGTAGGGCACTGATAAGGGCTTGACAGGTATGGAGTAATGAGCACGGGTGAGGCCTAGGCAGGATGACCGCTCGTCGTCGAGACTAGTGACAGAGTGGCAGCCCAAGGAGGGAACGCCCACGGTGGAGATGGAGCGATCGAATCGGCTCCTTGTGCAGGCGCTTCGCAGGACCATGCCTCCATCCAGCAGTGGACAGATCACGGTTGACGCCGACGATGACTGTAACAGTGATTTTGTTTCCTCCGAGCAAATGAAATTCACACTGTCGTGAGCTCGCCACTGCCGTGGAGAGTGTCAACGCAACAGCAACAACAAAAAAATGTACTTAGCAACGGCGCGTGCAACTGGTACAAATGCTGTGTTGGACAAAGGCGTGCTTGTGAGTGCAAGTGCGCGTGTCTAAACTTCACGGACGCGAGTCCCGCCGTGCGGCACTTTAACGCTGCGTCGTCATCTGCGCACGCTCCTTTCGGCATCGTCCCCACGTGAATTCGCCAACGCGGTGGATTCGAGGTGCGTAAAGTCGACGAAGCATATCGTACGAAGCCAAAACGCCACGTAAATATCCGCCTATGACCAAATCACGTTGCGTTCGCCCTCCCACCGCTCCCCGGCAATCTCAAAAAGCTAAGCAGTTGAGGTCTCTAAGCGAGGCAATCTGGTGGGTGATCATCACCCCAAAGGCTTGCCAGGAGTTGTAGTCACGCAGCTGCCAGGTGTGACCAGCTGATGGCAGTGCCGAAATGTAACCACCCCACCACCACCACCACTTCGGATTGCGTGATGGCTTCGCTCCAAGTTTACTCCAACACAGAGCAAAACATCCGTGGACCTCTGATGGCATTCACGGCCGAGAAGCAATCGCCCCAAATGCAACAGGACCCTTTGACTGAGAGCGAGGACACCCTGGAGGAGGAGGCACCGCCGATTAACCGGCCTCGCCAAAACATCGAGACAGGGATGTGTCGCGAGCCATGAACCCGTGCCACGTAACATCCAACTCTTTTATAGTCGGATGCAGCGAGTGGGGGTCAGGGTGGGGTGTGGGCTGGCGGTGGTGGGGGGCGGTGGGGGGCAGTGGGCAGCGTGTGAAGAACGCAAAGTAGACGCGGCCTCTTTTCGACAAGAGCAAAAACAACCCGCACATCACGACGGAAAGCTTCCTCCTTCCTCCCTCCCTCCCTCTCCCGGCCCCACGAGTCCATGCCGAGGCGATCAATAGCGGATGCAGTCTGTTGTGTACTGTCGCCGCTGCAGTCGATGCGAAGGGAGCCGAACATCCTGCAGCGCGCGGGATCAAGCGTCGAAAGCGGCGGATTTGAAGCGCCCGTGCTAAAGCTGGACCGACTCCCCGAATATCGCGTCCGATGAGCCACGAGCAATCCACTGCTGGATGGATGAGAAGTCGCTTCCCCCCCCCCCTACCCCCGCGCCAAGCTACGGCGGTGCCGTCGCTCCGTCTCCCGCGGAAGAACGTGGTGGACAGCCACTCTTTTGCTCTCTCGGAAACGTTCCATCGGCTGACCATCTGGGCGCATGTTTCAACACTAAAACACCCCCCCCCCACCACCACCACGTGGCTGTAACACATATACCACGTTATCTCTCACGTTACGCAATGACACAGCACACACACACACACGCGCGCGCGCCCACTAAACTACGCAACTTGGCTTTTAACAGACTTAGTTCCTTCAACAGGACTGGAAACAACAGTATGGTAGAGGATATTTTAAAATACTGTACAGTATATCTATTTTATTTTCTTAAACGTTGTTCTTTTTTTGTGTTACCTGGTCAAACATGGACTTTCCAAGCTTGAATGGCGGGCATTCACGACGCTCCTCCATCGCCGCTTTAAGAACTTGCAGCGTGCGTCGCGTAGCAAAGGTTGTGCCGTCGACTCTATTCGAGTGAGATAGTGAGAGTGGGCGCGCGTGTGTGTGTGTGTGTCTGTGCGCGTGCGTAAGTTTACGCTCTAGTTAGCTAAAAAGTGTGCGCTAATTGTTTGTGAAGCAGATTGCGTTGCCGGATCAAGGGACACAGGCTGCGCCAACGTTGCACGCATCAGTTCCGCCTCCCTCGGATTCTACGGATACCAACCACGGCGTGCGGTAACCACGTGTCACAAACGGAAGGCACTTGCAGCAAGGTGTGTACTGTGTAAGTTGGACGTGGTCCCACCGCAGGGTGGTGCACTGCTGGCTTCGAGAATGCCCCAATGAATGGGTGAGGCTTCTCGCCTCGTCGCATAATTATTGAAGCTGACATAATCATTTAATCGAGTTTGCATTTAATAAACATTTTTTAAAGCCAAAAACCGATGATCAGTTTATGTGCTATGATGACGTCGTCTATTATTTAATTTAAATTTTAAGGCCAGTGTTTTTTTACGAAATTATTTTAAATTCGTGTCATTGACAAAAGCTTTTTGGGAGGAGCAATGGACATGAAATATGTACTTGGCAGGTGAACTCATCAGTTTGAATCCCGGTCACGGCTGACATCAGTGGGGAGTGATTATCTGAACCATTCCTGGATGCACCCCTTCTTTACCAACCAGCACTGACCAGCGTGGTGAAGTACGGTCAATAACCCCAATGACGTGGACAAGGTGACGGTGACTCCCTTCAGCCAGCAGTGGATTGACAAAGGGCTGTTAATTTTCCGTGCACACCAACATAGCTACCTCTACACCCTTCTCTACCACCCGGCCAGATGTTGGGTTAGAGGACCACGAAGAGATGGGGATATGACTGTATTATGTATGCATTCAGCTACAGTGTAAGCATAAACAAATGAAGAGGCTAAACATTGACAATCAGGACCCTCTTGAATATTCAGTCTTTGGACTCAAAGATGTTTTGCAGGGAATAAAAAAATTAATAACTGTACTATAGACCTTCTTGGTTCCTTCGGTAAAGTCACGTAGAAGGAAAATAGTAAAATAATAAAAATAAAATATAATAAAATAATTCTCACGACGTTTCGGCCACAACGCAAGCAGCCGTCTTCAGGTGGAGAACAGGTCTGAACAGGTCTGTCGAGAAGACTCTGCCTTCTCGACAGACCTGTTCTCCACCTGAAGACGACTGCTTGCGTTGTGGCCGAAACGTCGTGAGAATTATTTTATTATGTTTTATTTTTATTATTTTATTATTTTCCTTCTACGTGACTTTACCGAAAAAACCAAGTAGATGAATCTCTGCAGTCACGAAAGCTTTAAATCGAAATGTACTATAGACGTCATAACACTTAAATATATTTTGCCGAGCTATTAGTGGCCATGAGTTGTTTCAAAGCACACTGGGGAATTGGAAATGCCCCCTGCTGCTACTATGTATTCATCATCAATCACGATTTCTCCACTGCTGGATGAAGCAATCATTAAGTACGGTACTTAATAATTCAGTGCTGAGTGTTCCCACCTCATAAGCATGGTGGATTTTATAACAAGCGTTTGTCCTTGGAAGCATTTAATTAGCGGTAATAACGATAGCGCGCATGACAGGCGCACAGGCAAAGCAATACGTTAAGAGGATTTGGCTGATATATATTTTCACATGATAAACCACTTTGTTGAGCGATGATTGGCCAGGTCGCTTCTGAAAAATAGCTCTATAGCTCAGTGGGCCTTACTTGTTAATAATTGGTTAAAAAAATACGTCATTAGACCTCGATAAAACATCAAGGCAGGTCCTTATAGCGCTGTTTTTTATCTCCACGTTTTGGGCAACCCCTGTCGCGGAATTCCCTAACACCAACGCAACTTTACATTAAAGTTTTGTTCATATTGGATCATCTTTCCGACAGTTATTGACAGATGAACAAAGCTATGACTGCATTGAGCCTTAAACCGTAGTTTTCGTGTTAAAGGCGTGAGAGGCGTGGCTGCAATCGCCCAGCCAGCCTTGAACCAACACACTCCGACGTGAGATTATTGAAACAGTACTCGGTCGCTATTTAGTATTCTCGAGAACTGGTGTGGGTACAATGGTCATTGCAACTCCCACGGTGTATTGCCCGCGTTAATGAATCGACGTGTTGTAGAATGAACAAAAAAGTGGACGATGTTAATTATTTGTTTCCAAGTTAAACTTTGCCGAGTCTGACATGTTTAGCCAATTACTTTCTCGCCTGTACTTGGTTGCGTGACCACCGACAGGTCTTGCCAGGTGTTATAGGCTGCGAGGTGGCCAGGAAATGTCAGTGCTGGGCGTTACCCCTCCCCCCTTCATGAATGCTTGATTTTCTGTTCGTTTTTTGGGCATTTGTCCATAAGAAGGCACTCATGAATCGAAGACATTCGAATGTAGAAGAAACATGCATCGTTCAATAATTTGTGTAACTCTTGAATAACATTGCTCTGATCAATTCTAATGAGTTCATTTCACAGTATGCGCTGTCCTAGTTTAGAAAATATTTCTAAGTGTGTGTACATCGCTCGTATTTAACAACAATTGTATCCCTGGTATGATTAGTGCGGTAATTATCACGTACATGATTTGTTCATGTTGTGCCATGTATTCGCCACATCATCTTCATCATCATCGTGGACGAAGGCATGCGATGTCACCGTTTCCCTCGATCAGTCTTAACAGCAACAGCAAAGAGCAATTGCATCATTATCTCAATAGCCTCTCACCTGCTCACAAACACCACAGCCTTCCACTTAAGCTTCCATTCATCCTCATCTCAAACGGCTCATTAACGTGGGCCACGCCATTCTTACTCCAACAACCCCATTGCCACTACAGCGGACCACTTTCATGATTGTGATTTAATTAACGCAGCGCACATCTGGCCATGCACCCGACCACATCAAACGCGCTTTGGGAATTCAGACTGCATCATGCAGATTAAAACAAATTGTGCACATCGCGTTTCATAACCACGCACATGATTTGTTATCTCACTGCATTGAGAAATGTAGAGTCTATAAATTCTTAAGAGTTTTTTTTTATAAGAGCCCGGTACAAAGCACGAAAGAGGGCAAATAAATCCCGTGGACCGAAACACAAACTCAGTGCTCCTGGGTTTAGAGAATGGGACACAATTGGGCTCACTGTCCCCACTCACACAGGGACTGCGAGCGGAAACGTAGTTTTTTTTAATATGGAGAAGAGAAGACACGGGAAGAGGCATAAACGTAAGTGGTGGGGCAGGGGGGTAGAGTCTATATCATTAGTATTTTCTGTACCAACAGTGAATAGACAGGCATGTGGCGGTGCATCTATTAATATGGATTCTTAAAGCTCACGACATGTTCATGGGATCACGTTTAAAAATAAGACATGTTTCAATGTCATATACATTGATAATTAGGCGTGGCCAGATCACGTCCGCTGGAAGGGATGATGGCCATGCTTAAGACAAATCACAGTGGCAGCCAAGGCATGGAACGTGTCCAAGGGGACCGAGTATTAGCGATTAAACCAGATCATGTGCAGGTGCTAGAGGTGGATTATTGTATTGCATGATGGCGAGATGGCGGGAGGCTTAAGTAGGTCTTCATACAGCAGTCAAATGACCATGGTTGATCATGATGATGATACGTTGTATGCAGTGGGTTCGCATGAGCCCTTCAGCTTCTGTAAAACATAATTATTAAGTAGAATCGCGAATTTGAAATAGCTACGGTTCGTGCAATTGTCGAAAAGTTGGGGAAAAGTGGACTGTGCTCTCCACCCCTCATGAACAGCATCTAATAACGGCGGTTCGGGTTCATGGCCTCCCACACGACACTCTTTGGCATTCCTTGGCATGGAAATGCAACATTCCTGCTTGGATCCTCACTTCACATCGCATTAGACGAGGGGAAGTGATGCGTGTCGCTTCCACAAGAGGGCACCAGGAAACAGACCGCAAGGCCTTTTCGGGCACTCCCACAAAGGGTGGCCAAAATCACAAATACAAAGGTCCCCCGAATAGCCTTGACAGACTGTTTGGGCAAGTGCTGTTCGCGAGCAGCTTTGAAGGCCGTCACAGCTCACGAGGGGGTGGGTGGCCACCGTCGTCTCCCTAGTGACGATGTTTACACACCACACCAGGGACTCATTTGTGGCTGAGTCGACCTTAGGGAGGCTCCGGATCAGTTCTGATTATCGTCACTGGTGTTGGCCGTTTGCGGGAATCGAACTCAGGTCGCCGGGCTCGTAGCGCATCGCCCTAACTGCTACACTACCGCTCCATAAAAATCACAAAGACAAAGATCCCCCGTATAGCCTTAACATGCTGTTGGGTCAGGTGCTGTTAACGAGCACCAATGAAAAAAAAATAGGCACAAACACACGCGCGCACGGCCATGCTGTTCGAGAAATGCGCGGCCACCAATGACACAAACATCCTCCGCACACGCAGATGACAAATGCCACTTAAGAGGGCAAAATGGATGGGGCAGATTCTTCCTTGATTCCCTTTATTAGTTTATTCGCAACACACAACACTGCCATGCCGTACACGCCGCAGCAACATTCTTTGGTAGGTTGGTTGGAGTGTTGCCACTCTTCACAACAGCATGGCATAACCCATCCAACTATTAGCCGTGCCTTGTAACTTACTCGAGACGACGTCCAAAAGACAACGTTTGTTTGGCATTCCGCCCGCAAACTTGAAGCGAGACGTGTACACTGTGCGCAACAATTGCCGATACACTGTTGTCGGATACCTCTGCATAATCGCGACGGGTCTCCGGTACTGCAGCAATTTAAGGCAAACGAAAGTAAAACCGGTGACCGGAGGACAACAGCAGAACACGCGTTCAGACGCAAGCTCGCAAGTAACATGAACTGAACATTATCGATTGCGTAACAAAAGGTCACACGCACTGCAAGGTCAACTTCCACATAGCACGGGTTTTATGATCCACTCGTCACACGCTGCCGGGAATGAGCAACTAACCACAAGCGACTGAGCAGGCACTCGTTTACAATGAACAAACAAGCTGTGTATATAGTTTATATATATATATACATTTGAGACTGAACTCTCCGATCACAATTGTTTACTGTAGACGTCAACGTAAAAATAAATTGCAAATTCGCCATTATCATCATTAGCCATGATCATGCCATTCCTGGATGCAGACGGATGAGTATGGTGAAGTATGTTCACGCCCCCCCCCCACCGCAACTGCATCCACCACATGAGCAACACACTGAAATAAATAAAGATGGAAATTATTTCCGTTAAACCTTTTCCAGCAACTGGACGCGAATTGGCTAATTGGTGCTGTTAGAGTCCTGGGTCCTGGATATGATTTGCCTTGTGAAGTCTGTTTTGGGTTGCACGAGTTGCCAAGTCATTGTGCTGTTGCAGCCAGAACATAAACAGCCGACGATGCACGTGTTCCAAGAATGCAGAATTATGATGCATTTGAGTACCGCTCCCCCGAATGTATCCACACCACAGGGCAGGTAAAAGACATCGATGTTGCTTTTACGAGTTGCTTCCTACTTGAATAAGGTGATGTTCTGCACGAACAATTATCAATCACCAGTACCAGAGCAGCCGGGAATCTACCCACAATGGGATGAATGGCTCTCCGATCCGCTAACCCGCACCTCTGATTAGCACGGTTGGCTACGTACGATGCGAAAAGAAGTTCAGCATACAACAAACATTCAAACATTCTCTCCAAACCATCGCTTTCTCTCAATCTTGCAAAGCGGAAATCCCATCGAGCCACTGCACGTGAGCCGATCCCATTGCTCCATCTCCACAGGGGAGGCCCTCTCGGGGAGGGTGTGCCACTCTTGGCATTAGTCTGGACCACTGTGGCCTTCATTCGGTCGAACGGACGTGTCCTTTCCAAAATGTCTCAAACGTGCGTATGTTCTCCAATCCACGTGTTCCTCTTCCTCAGTGAGATGCCTAGCAAGCGCTTCTACATTTGGCAAAGCGGAACTTAATAATGAATTGCGCCCAAAGAACAAGGTTTTGTCACCAGTGTACATTACTTGCAACGGCATGGATCAGAAACGTAAGTCTGACCATTGGTTATCGCGCAATCGTATGAGTCTAATCCATCACGAATGCATGAACATTGCTATACCAACAAAACAATCCACGTTACCATAGCGACAAAAATAGCATTGTCAATGAAAGCGCAGCCTCGTATTCTGTTCATAAAAGGGATGTAATTATTCGTAACTCCTCGCTTCCCATATTCAATTAATTGTCACAATTCTGGGTCATTTTGACCATGGTCAGATTGACTGAAAAACTCAGCGATGCCCTGGTGGAAAAAAAAACACAATAAGCCACAGTATCCCACTGTCCAGAAAGCAGGTGGATTTAGTGCATGGAAAATGTGAATTATTAAAGCTAACAACGATGTGGCTCTGCCATTTAGAGATGATAGAATGAAAACTATCACAAGTTCAATGGAAAAAATGTTGGCAATTTGAAGAAAAATAAAAGCGGGTAAAGTCATGCAGCCTAAGTGACTTTTACCGAAAAAAATAAAGAGTATGGTTATAAAGGTGTCCTAGTGTGCCACTCCCGAGACTGCGTACAGTGTTGTGTCTGTCCAGGACCTGACCGTGTACTGATTTTCACCAACCACTATGTCGCTGTTCCCCCCCCCCCCACACACAATGTAGCCTTAAACTTTTAGGGCAAGCGCTGTTAGCGAGCACGGCACACGAGGGCGTTGGATGGCCTGCACCACGTCTGGCCAACTTTGTCTCTCGAACAACGATGTTTACACATTCTTAGGTTTTTTTCTGTAAAGTCACGTAGGTAAAAAAATTAAAATTAATTTTAATTTTTTTTTTACCTACGTGACTTTACCGAAAAAAACCTAAGAATATGAATCCTTGCAGTTTACGAAAGCTTCAAATCTAGGATATTTACACACTGCACCAGGTACTCATCTGAGGCTGAGTCGACCAAGGGGAGGCCCAGGACGGGTCAACTGTTGGCCGTGAACAGGAATCGACATCGGGTAGCAGGGTTCGTAGCGCAGTGCGCGAACTGCAATACCACCTCACCCCACGCGCAAACACACACAAGCGTATACATTTCTACAAAACACGGGTCTGTACGCGTACACGCACGTGTGACCATGCACTATTTATACATCTGCAAGGCTGACTGAGTTACTCTCCCCGGAGTGGCAATGGGACTAAAAGGCAGACCACCATGCAATTTAGTTACGAAAATCCAGCCGCTATTTCCACGTTCACAATTGTGCGGATGTAAGTAAATGTTGCGGACAAACATGCCAAAGAAAAAATCCACGTGCGTGCATGGGATTATTTTCAATGAAAATAAAATATGTATCAAATAACATTAATACACTGTTATATATGGGCCATTGCAATTTCAAAATGTTTCTTTATTGTTTTCAAATTACTTTAAAAACCAATTTAATGTCGAAATCTTTTTTTAGCCATCTGGTTTTTGCAAATATAATTTCCCTTATTGTTTTCTAAAACAAAATTACAATGTTAATACCTTCCATGTGTTTTTTTCTTATACGTACTATATTATGTGGGGACATTTAAGTAACTGTAAAATGAAGATGTATAATAGAACAAAAATGTTGGCAGAGTGAAATAACATGAGGTTCCATAACAATATGTACTTTATTTTAAAGGAGGCAACCAACTTTCAGCCACAGTATAATGTTGTTGTTGCCGTAATTATTTCTGTAACTTCAAGGAAGGAGCCTTTGTAGCAAAACAATGCATGGTGGTCCCTTTTTAACCTTTGAATAAATAATTCCTTTGTGGGAATCAACAACGGCGCTTAAAAAACAAATCACGTTGCAACGTCAAGTGAAAACTTATAGCCGATTCACAGGGCGTACATTTAAAATGCTATCATTCAAAAGCAACAGAGGAAGCAGTAATGAATATGTGGTTAATTCGGTCTGGACCGTCCAATTTCTTTTTTATCCCTGTATTTTTCCTAGAAACTGTCAAAGAAAATAAACAAGCAACAATAGATGAAACCTCGGAACGGGAAAGCGAATACTTTCATAAGGTGTTTCCAGTAACAGAATACTGTAAAAACATAGCTTTTTGAAACGCAATTTGCTGCACACATCATGGAACCGCAAATGTAATTAAGAAACACTTCGCATGCCACTTCTCAAAAAATTTAGCACTTAGAGGGGAATTTTTTTCAGGAAAACCTGATCATTTCTATATGCTGTTATAGTGCTGTTTATTGCTGGCCGCTTGGCATTTTTGTGGCCATTGGGCCTGTGCACAGCAACTGTGATTTTTCACTTTAAATGTAGAGATAGACAAGTTCGTTTTATGGGCAGCGACATTTTTTTGATTGAGTCTATTGCAGTCCGTACAGCACCAATAACAAAAAAAAATCATACATCAGTCAGGATACATAATGTTTACATGTGTTAAAACACTTAAGGCAAAGTAGACATTTAAAATCTTTAAGATGCTGGCAGAATATTTTAGCAAATAAATATTATTCATGCATCCAGGTCAACTAATTGGGTCATTTTATATGACGATGAACACTGAATATGGTATTTGAAGCCAGTCCTCCTACAGGTTGGCTGCATGCAATGTAAATCGATGCAGATCAAGCATCTTGCAAAAGCCAGTTAAGCTGTCCATCAAATAAAACTAAACAATTTTTTCTGGCAACAAAACAGGTGTTAAGATGTTAAAACACCAAACTGAAACCTTTAACAAGGAATCATGTCTGCATTAACCACAATGCTTGTGGTCAAAATGATAACACTGGTCAACACACTTTTTCTGGCATAAGGTATTCCAACGGTTTTAAGGTATTTTTGGGGTGCTGATTCCAAATCTGGCATCAGTTTTTGTCTATCACATCAAGTTTTTGAGAAATCCAATATTGCATTTTCAATACAAACTGCAGAAGAAAAATATTAAATAAATGTGGATATCTACATAAAATGATATTATAAACACACTATCCTAAAAATATAGCACCATATTTTAACACTAAAGCAGTCACTGACTCGCAACAACTTGCAATCATAAGTGACAAGAGTTAATTTCGGCTAAAATCAATTAAAATGGGGTATGCCGATAGCATAAAAATGAGATGTGATATATTTGGAATCAGCACCCTGAAATTAGTCTAGAACAGCTGCAAAAGTCCAGGCCAGAAAAAAATGTTTTTGTTGTTGTTGACCAGTGTAATATATGCATTGTCTTTGAGACTGATTTGTCAACACCAGGGACAGCTTTCTTTTGAGCCTCGTCTCAAACGATGTTAGACCAGAGGACGCCATATATATACAATATAATTACCTATGTTTGAAAAAACTACGTGATTTTAATTTTACCAGGTAAGGCCCACTGAGCTATATAGCTCTTTTTAAGAAGCGACCTGGCCACAAATGATTGCTTACCATGCGCAGGGAAAAACCGGAGGACCCGGAGAAAAAAAACATGCGACCACGGAGAAAACATGAAAACTCCAAATATACAGGCGTCAGGACTGGGATCGACCTCCTGTACACCAGCAAGGTAGTTAGCACCTCGCCACCACGGCGCCCCTAAATTGGCCGCGTTGCAAAGCACATTGACACCAGATTGCCGTGTCATTTTTAAACATGGCTTCGGCAATAATCCTCGTTGCAGTGTTACTGCCAGCAAATATTGACTTTTCTCTCAATAACACTTTCCTGTTGCACATTTACCTGAATGCGATTTGTTTAATATATCATGAAATAATACTGAAGCAAAGTAAGGCAGCAAGCTTATACCGGTACGGCCCTTTGTCAATCCACTGCTGGGTAAGGGCCTCCGCATACCGTGCGGGCCGTCACAGGTTATTTGACCATACTTCACCACGCCGGTCAGGGTGGGTTGAAGGCGGTGAGCATGTTGAGAGCACACAAGTGCAATGCAATAATGGACGTTGCTGCAATGCCTTCTGTCGCTGCTCTACGACACCCTCTGTGTGCACGTGGTGGTGGCCACCTATTCGTGCTCAGCCCATGCGTAGCTTCCAAGATCTGACGGCACTGCGTGCATTGCGGGTGATTTGGTCGCAGGCGTTCAATATGGTGTGCGGTATATTAAATATGTTATGATGCGATAAACTGATGTAGCACTGAATCCGATGGAAAGCACGGCAGTTAGTAGTTGTAGATCACATACAGATGCGAACAATATTTAGCGGAGTGTAAACAAGCCAAAATAAAGCTGGTGTAAAATAATACAAAATGCTCACGCGTAAAATAAAGCTCACATTTATGTGAGCATTACACATTCAGTTTTGTCACAACTTAAAAAAGCTAAGTTCCTGTTTGTACCGACAATAATTCAGCAACGTTCAACCCCTACAGATCCAGATATACTCAACACTGTTTGATAGACAATACAATCTTACAATCACTATTATTGTAATTTTTACTTTCCTATATTCTTAATTGGCTTTGTGCTTTCACTTACAGCTATGAAGTTCAATTTGACATTTCCATTTTTGCAATGTACATTATTGTCGTTTCTTCCACAGCATATTTAGGCATACATTATCGTATAAACACATACTATACTGTATATACAGAATTGATTTGGCATATAATCACGGACTTGTATTTACCCAAATTTACAATAATATACTTCTGATGATAAACCAAATATTGTAATGCAATAAAAATGGGAATTAATCTATGGAACATAACTAATAAACATTTATTCATGCATGCAGTACAATTGTTGGACCTAGACCTTCTGAATAATTTCAATCATCAACTGCACCAATCCTTTGGGACAATGAATAAGCAGCCCTGCAGCAATTCCACCGCAAAATGGTTTGACGAGCTTGGGTTGTTTTCATAGCGGCGTGCCTTATTTGGAAGAGCACATTCGACACTGGTTAACATATCCCATACGCACTGTCAATTAAAATTTGCAGTATGGTTTTTAAACACTTTTGCTTACACATACGTAACCTTCTGGCTGTGCGGTCACGTGTAAAACTAAACTAAACTTGTATTTTACCAGGCATGGCCCACTGAACTATATTAGAAACGACTTGGCCACAAATGATAGCTCCACGAGATGGCTTATCGTCTTGATTCTCAACGTAGAGGGAAAACTGGACGACCCGGAAAAGCAATCCATGCAACCACGGGGAGAATATGCAAACTCCAAATATACAGGTGTCAGGGTCAGGATCAGGATCGAACCCACAACCTCCTGTATACCAGGTGAGGTAGTTAACATCTCGCCACCGTGGCGCCCAAACACACAGGCCATCCACGTACATCTTCACTAAAAGAATCTCAATCGTCCTTTATCCGTCCATCACCATATCCTCTGGATAATAAGGCGCACTGTTTTCCCCTGTATTTTACAGCTAAAGTTGGTGGTCAGTCTTGCAATCCAGTAGGCGTGTGCATGTGTGTGACCTGATTTTTTTTATTTAACTTCATTGGCAGCAGGCACAAGACCGAGGTGCGCCTTACTTTCTGGGACATTTATAATTAGCAGAATGCAGTATGTATATCTGCTTTCGATAAGAGGGTGTCAAACACATACCCATAATAATACCGCCTGAAATGGAATTAGCCTTGCCGGTCAATAGCAAAGACTAGTTGGATTCATAAAAGATTTAAAGCCTTGCAAAGGGAATACTCCCATTACGGGCGTTTAAATACATGGCCAAAGAAGTCTTATTTAGCTCCACAAGTAAACGCATGAAATCTGTCCTTGTACCACAGGGCAAGTGTGGATGGCAGAAACTGTAGCCCTTAATCATGAGCCTCAGCCCACGCACACATCTGAGCTAAGCTAATTGATCAACGTCCTATACTTGTTCACATTGTGTCTAATATAACCCAAACAGACATTTACTTTTTTTACCTCCCTGTAAATAGACTTCTTATGGTTAATTCACCAGCAACTGTCCAGAGTTCGAGCAGCTGAGGGGAATGTCACTAACAGCGCTCCGAGTAGGGGAGCATAGCGGAGTGCTGTTTTCAGCTGACAGTTTTTTTTTAAATCCTCGCCCCCATCCTCCCACCCCAATGGCTGACTCCTCATAAATATTATCATCGTAATTTAATATTATATCACGCCTTTCTATGCAGTACATCCGGGCATGCCCAGGGCCGAATTTCTCACTAAATATTTCCCGGCTCGCCGGTTGACTGGAGAACATTGCACGTGACGAGTAGTAGCCATGGCCGTAGCGACAGGTACACTCGATGTCGTGCACCGGGAGCGCAAATATTGTTTGGGTCGCTGACCCAGACATGCTCGGTTGAAATTAAGCCCCGCGCACACCACTAACCGGGCTGGCAAGCCCACCACCGGCATCGGCGAGCGACCAACAGAGGCACACGGGGCCGAGCCGAAGTGATGCCGAGGGCATGAAGCGATGCCAAGGGCACTACTTCTGCCCGAGCGTAGCGGCCCTCTGGTATGGCACGAGCAGCAGGTGCGGCGTCTCCTCCATGATGCGCAGCAGCAGCCCGTCGATGTACTCGTGCAGGTTGCGGATGGTGTCGTCGCGCCGCACCAGCTCCGCCTGCTGCCGCGTCACCAGCGCCACCAGCTCGGCGTGCGAGAGGCGCGAGAGCACCGCGGACGAGGAGGCGTTTGCCGCTGGACCGCCGTCCTGGGGGCGCGGGAGGGGGACGCAACGAGTTGCAGCGCTTCAGGGCGACGCTCGGTTGTGGGGGGTGGCGGGGTAGAGTGGGGAGGTCAGAGCTAAGGGTTGCAACCTCTGTGGTGGCAAAAATGTATATATATATCTTGCGACGTATCACGGGGAGAAGAATATCTCACAATGCCAGAATATGGGGTCGTGTGCAAATGTGTTGTTTTGAATGCCGTAGTATTACGGAACAGACAAAAAGCAGGAATCGTCATGCTCCGTGAAGACTTACAGATTTCCCAGGATGGCTACGTCTAAGAAGGACGATTCTGTGAGAACTAGGACAGGTGGCACCGCTGAGGTCCTGGATTGGAATCTGGGTATCAGCATTCTATGATTAATCTGGGTTCTCTCTCACGTGTAGTCAGTTCACGGTGTCGGGATGGTCACCAAAGCAAGACCGAGTTTCAGCAGAAGGTTGACTGAGAAAGTAGCCGCGTTGCTCAGGGGCAGTGGCATAGCTATCCAGCGTGCAGGTGGTGCCAACTGCACTTGGGCCAGCGGGCTGGAGGTTCCCACATGCCATGCGATGAAGACTCTTTGCAACGCTCATAAAATGTATGTCCTTAGTGTGGGTGAGAAGGCCTATTGTTATCTTCTGGAGTCCTTCTCCAGACATCACGGTGGAGCACTGAGAGTCCGGTGAAACTCTCTCGCACAAAATAAACAAAGAAAACTTATAGCATCACGTATCCGTACATCGGTAAAGGTGCAGCCCTGCAATTGCTTGCTCATTTCACTCGACTAGGACGAGGCCCCAGTAGATGGTTTTTGACCTACACTTCCAGTGGTTAGACAGTCCCAGAGGAGGTGAGTGTCCCCACACTTTACCCCACCACAAGAGACCTGCCAAGTCCAGCTAACTCTGGCGTACCCATTCGTACTGCTGGGTGGACAGAGGTGGGGTGATTCAAGAGGATTGTCTCTGGTTTCAGTTGCCGCGCCGGGAGATTGAATCAAACCGCACAAACGTCAATGCAAGTCTTTGTGTTAACCATTATACCTCGGCACGTATCCCATAAGATATGTAACATTTATATATATATAAATATTGAATGTGTGTGCTGGCACTCTGTGTCATTCACTGTGACGACTGTGGCTAACCCGAGCCTCGTTTTGTTACAGCCCCAGGCAACGTCACGGGATTAATGTCACACACCACTTCTTTGGCACGTTAACATGCGTTTACAATGAATAGCGCAATGTACATGTTACAGAGAGGTCTCTTTGAGTGTGTTGCTGAGCATGCAGATAACCAACCTTGTGAGTTGCCAGCTGGAAAGGTTTTGACATCGTCTTCCATTTTCTTCCCGCTTGCGTTCAACGGTGGCACCGAACGGGGGCTGCATTTGCAACGAAAGACAAATACGCTGGCAGCTTTATTGGCCATCATTGCTCACGTACCACATTTAAATCGAGGTTTACAATACAACGTAACGTATTTTTCTATTTTTCCTAAGTCTCTTTGTTTAGGGCGACACAGAGGAGAGAATGTCATCTATCTCGCCTGGTATGAGGTCGTGGATTCAATCCCAGTCCCTCGCCTCTGCATATTTGGAGTTTGCGTGTTCTCCCCGTGGTCGCGTGGATTTTTCTTCAGGTCCTCCGGTTTTTCCCTCCACATTTAAAAACATGTTTTTAGAGTAGTATTTGGTTGCTACAAAATTTTAACATAAGCCACTTCGTTGAGCTATCATTTGTGACCAGGTCGCTTCTGAAAAGAGCTATATACCTCAGTGGCCCTTACCTGGTAAAATTAAAATCACGTCATTTTTTTCAAACATAGGTAAAAAAAATTTTATCTGACGGGCAATAGTAAAACTACTGCCGAATGAAGTGGTTACACGTATGTAAAAGGTAGAGAGTTGCAGGCTGGAAATTGCGCTAACTATGGCTAGCGAGGATGAGTGGAGAGGAGAGTGACCAGAACCGGATCGGATATCACTCACCGCTGATGTGAACCGTGGCCTGGATTCAAACTCAAGTTTAGGATCCATAGCACAATGTGATCACCACTGCACTGCTGCTACACAAATGCAAATCCTGCAGCCAATTCCTTGTTGATTTCAACAAGCAATTGCCCAAGTGCACCACCGCACACACAATAAAGCAAATGTTACAACACCCTGTACCAGCTTTCACAGGGATAAGTTGTCGTGACAGATATTTCACTATCGATACAAGACCTAATAATGTTAATTTAAATTAATTTGTCAGTCCGCTGCTGAAGGAAGGCCTCCTCATGCCGTGTCAGTTGTGAGAGTTCACCATGCTTCGCTACACTGCTCAGGTGAATGGAGGGCCAAGACTGGTTCTGGTATTACTTGCCACTGATGTTAGCTGTGGCCAGAAATCAAACTCAGGGGGTCGGGTTTATAGCGCAGTGCATTAGCCGCTGCCCCACCACACCATCAACACAACTCTTGATGATTGTTAAATGGAAGCTTCTAAATTTCGATTTAAAGCTTTCGTGACTGCAGGGATTCATCTTCTTGGTTCTTTCGATAAAGTCACGTAGAAGGAAATAATAAAATAATAAAAATAAAACATCATTAAATAATTCTCACGACGTTTCGGCCACAACGCAAGCAGTCGTCCTCAGGTGAAGAACAGGTCTGTCTTCATTATTATTATTTTTTATTATTTCCCTTCTACGTGACTTTACCGAAAGAACCAAGAAGATGGAAGCTTCTAATTTAATATATAAACGTAACACAAAGTAAGAAGAGCAACTTAAACAGCAGCTATGCTAACACATTTTTGTTCCTCAACTGCAAAATGCCTGTTTTGGTAATAATACAGAAATACACCATATTTACCCTGCATGCCAATGTGAATACTAACACATACTGTATATGCATACACGTTTTAAACATTAAATTATTCAGTTTTCTGCGTGAGAATGTTTCAATGTGACGCGTGAACTGTACGTCCATCTCTGCGCGTTGAGACCCCCAGCGATTTGCTGGGATTCTTGCAACACCGCTGAAAATAGCTTCACTGGGTGAACATTTTCAGGTGTGCAAAAACGCTCGTGAGAAAGACCTCGTTAGCGCCGCCGCTGAATGCACCAATCAGGATTGAATGACACCGCCCTGTCCAAACATGACCCCCTGCAGTTTGACAGTCTCAGATAGGCACGTAACGATTTGCTACCGAAGCGGTCAGATGCATATTTAAATTTCTGGGTCATGATATAAAAAAAACATCGTTCGTCTCATGTCTATTCTCCCCGTACGCATTATTTCTCTTTTAATTTTTGCGTCTTTTTTGTTTGTTTTTGCAGTCGTGTTTGCGCCAGATTATCCTAAAAGCATCGTCGTAGCGTTTGTGTCAATATCAAATACATAAAAATCAGTTCATTACTTGGTGATGCTGCGTTGGCAGTGGCGCGCAAGCGCGGAGAACTAAAAACTCAAACACATTCATCAATAAGACTGTGGCCTTAAAAAGAACAAGTATATAACACGTGACATTTTGGGGAATGGGCCTTGTTCATATCACTTCTCCATTTTAATATAATGACTGACACATCATATGATGCATTGCATCATGAACCTCACAACTGAGATGTTGTTACATATCCGGCCCAAAGACCTCTTGCAGCTGACAAAACATCTTCCTGGAACATATTTTACATCCCAGATGTATTGTTCCTGCATCAAGGAATGCTTCCAACTATACACTCCAAGAGCTTACTACTATCAGCTAAATGCTACTGAACTCTATGTACAAACGTTTGCGCTTAAAAGGGCTCCATAGCTTAAGTGGAGTGCTCTTGTGGCCTATTTGTGCCAGCGTCGTCCAAATTTGCCAAATAAAAAAAAATCCGTAAATTATCCATACGGGAAAACACATAACAATCAATAGCCCCGACTGCCAAAGCTGCCACAGACTATGTTTGGGAAACATAACGTCTTTGTCATAGTCTTGCGCTATGAGAATAGCACAAATACCAAATGTACGAATTATTTAATTTGAATAACAGATGGCAACCCAGAAGCTATTTATCCAAAAAATGTCAAAACCGGCCCAGTGTTTGTGTGCTTAAGTAAAAGCTGCTGTGTAAACTTGGTTGCAATAATGCAATAGGTCGATGGTATAAAAAGAATTGCATTCAAATGTGGAGACACAGTATAGAGTTCTGCTTGTATACACTCACACTAATCTCTGTGTTCAACTCCCGACCCAAGTCCCTGTCCTGCTACGCGTCCATCAAAAAAGTGCCGTGGTCAGGCTCACCTGATTCCAGCATCACAGCCCTGCGGCTCCGAGCAGCCTGGCCGTGTCTCCGAGGCTGAAACCAGTGGGGAAGAGGAGGATGGAGGGCCCTTTTCCCTTCGGCTGTGCCAACCCACATCACCGGATGGACCAAACTCGCGAGCCGCCGTAAAGGGCATCACGGGACGACCAACTGGGGCAGGAACAGAGTCATGCGCGATGGGGTGGAGGGTGCAGGGCTCAGCAAGCGCAGGCACAAAGCCAGGGGAGGGGGGCGGTGCGGAAGGGGAGGTCACCCGAGACGCTGTGTCTACGCTGTGTAGCCTTTTGGACGTCGACTGCAACGCCGCGTCCCTTTCGGTCGCACCGGCAACGTCCGGTGGAGGCTCTTCACTGCCGACGTCTGCGGGTGTTGTTGACGAGCTGGCCTTATCAATCTTTTCCAAGTTATTAATGGGCTTGAAAGTGTCTGGCGAAAATGTTTTGCTACCCGCTCCGTCGGTGGGAGACAAGGCAGAGGAGCCAGAAGGCACAAGATTCTTCCCTGAAAGTGCTTCATTGTCCATCTTTCCTGAGCCCTTACTTTCCAAATTAGTAGCCCTTGTAGTGAAGGTGCGAACAAACAAACCATCGTCAGTTATTCCTTCATGCAGAGAACTGGGGTTATCGTCCTTTCTCGGCTGCTTCAGGGTCGAAACATCCAACTCATCAGCAAGAGAACTGCCTTTGGTAGTGCCTGACAGCGATTCCTCACTCTTCTTCATGGCTTGTGCGTGCTTGGCCTCCAACCACTCGGCCAGAGTGGAGGACGACTGGAAGAGCGTAGACCCGCTACGAGAACTTTCTTCATTCTTTTTGGAGGCAGTGTCCAGTGGTTGAGAACTATACTTCCGCGCAGGCTGAGTGGTGACCTCTATGTTTAAAATGCATGGCTGCGTGTCCGAGTTTTTCACCGGTAACTCTGCACCCCGCTCGGGGAAGCCAGACGCTGTGCGTGAAGAGCTTGCGCCGCGCGCGCCGATGAGGCTCGTGTCGGTTGAAGCCTCTTCGGGCGATTTTGGCTGAAACTGCGAAGGGGATGTGCGGCGAGAACCTTTCTCAAAGTCCTCCTCGGCGACCGAGAGTTGTAAATAAGGCGGTGAAGTTTCAGCCGCGTCCGAGCGTAACGTAGACGCGCTGTAAAAGTGAGGCCTGTATAACTGGCTTTTGACAGGATAATACGAGGTTTCGTCCTGGTCCAAGTAGTTTATTTTTAACGACGACTCTAGGTCGGCGCCTTCAACTTCACTATACATCTTAGTGGTTGACTTATCCAAGCGATTTGGCTGAAGTCCCGGCGTTATGTTCGTACTTGCAATGGCGTCTACCAGTTGGGCAGGAGTTTTCTCCTGTTGTACAGGCACATTTTTAGTAGGCTGTTCCTCGGAACAGGACTTGCCTGTCCCACTCCTTTGTTGGTCATTCTCCTCAACACCCTGCAGGAAAAGCGGTGACCTTATAGGGGAAGAAACCTTTCCTTTGCCCAATATTAAATCTGAAAATGACTGCATCTGTGTTTTTTGGTGAATAGGATCGTCTTGGCGAGCAGTCTGCGCGAGCACCACATCATCAGCTTTTAGAGGTGGCCCAACATTTTCCTGTTTTTCAATCCTCCCTATTGTTGGCATTGGCCTCAGACGGGCACTTTGTGGAGGTCCTGTGGCCTGCATCTGAGATGAACCCGGAGATAAATCTTGAGTGACCAGTTTATCAACTTTGCCAGTCTCTAAATCACTCAATTTCACAGAATCCTCCTTCGATCCTGTCATATAATCTTTGCCTCCTTCATGTTGGATGTCCTTCTTGTGAGCGGAAGATTTCTCATTCTCAAGTCCACGTATCTTGGCTTCGTCAGTCTTGGGAGCACGTTCAGTCGCGTCGCCCTCTCTCACTACCGTCGGTGCCTGCGACGCTTGGGCTTCCGAGCCCTCGCACAGAACATCCAGGAACGGGTTAAAGGAATGGCTGCTCAGGAAAGGGTTTTTAGCAGAGGACGGGAAAAAGAAAGGGTTGGAGGATTTGGTGGAAACCTTCTCCGGTGAGGAGGGCGGTGGCGGTGGCGACACCAGATCATCCCGAGCGAAGGCCGCCGCTGCATTCGACAAATTGTTTTCCCGCACGGGACTTCCGGGCGCGATCACGGCGCGGTTCTCGGCGTGTGGAGAAGGCCGCGGCGCCGGCATAGGTGCAGGGGGGGATTTGGGAACCTCGGCAATGTCGGTGAACGACAGCAGCGACGCGGGCGTGGGGGGAGACTGCGACAGAATGGACGGGGGTGTGCTGGGAGGGTGTGAGATTATGGACATGGGGCTGGAAGGAGAGGTGGGGGAGTGCACGGGTGTTAGTGGGGGGCACAGAGGGAAAGGCACAGCGGGTGCAGCTGCCACAGCGAGGGGCGAGTTATCAGACATGGAAGGGCTTTGTGGGAGGTTTGTGGTTTCGACCTCGGGAGACACGTCCAGTCTGTGGGGGAGACACAAAACAAGGGACAGGAGGAATACAAATCATGTTACCCTCCTACCCGTCTCCAGCCACGGCGCTCCGTTGTTGTGAGACGCAGCAGGGTTAGAAATTACGCAACGATTCACTCTGACCCCCCTGCACCCTTGCCTGCACCCCCCCCCACCCGCCTTCCCTTTCACCAGCAGCAGTTTGATGAAGCATCACAATTTGGGGTCATGAATCGATTTAAGATCGATTATTTTCGTGTAATTCTTACCGTCTCGGTGATATCCACTCCGTGTAGCTACATGTGAGATTAGTGAGCATAAGAGATGGTGAATTGATGCATCGTTGCATGCCAAGTGGAAGGTATGACAGATACGAGTTAAGTTGCGCGTATCCATAACGTGTTCACAGACCGTGAACGTTTTGATAATTTTAGCTTAAATGAGAATTTATTACGTGAGCTGAAGGCACCGGTCAATAATATTTGTTCAGCTGAGCATCTGCACGAGCCATTATCAAAGCGTGCTCATTCTTCTTAAAGGAATACGTGGGTTTCCAATTTACTATGTCATCTAAAAAAAGTACCATTTATCCCCAAAAAAGCAATAGAATGATTAACAATGTATATTGTCCATCCAAAAAAAGTATACCCACTCACAAACGGGATAAAATGTGGAGAGTTTGTCTTTAAAATTTTGTTGAAAAAATTCATTTACGACACAGTTAATGCGTTCTAAGAAAAATAATCTACATGTGACTCCATCCAATCACAGGCAGTTATAATCAGGAAAAAACTACCGTAAAATCATAGATAAGAGAACGTGGCTCCAGTTTCTGCCGTTTATAAAAAGCATTTACATTTTGGAAAACTATTTATTTTGGTGATTCTGTTATGTTGACAGTGGTGCACAAGCACATATACCAAACGATTCAACGCATTCGTCAATAGCACTGTGGCCTCAAAAAGAAAAACATATAATAGGTGAAATTAATGGCATTTGTTCTCAGCACATAGATGATTTACAGCACACAAATAATTTATGTTGCGATACAGTACATCGATTACGTGCTGTGAAGAAGGACCAATGCCCGAAACGTCACCAACACACCGGTGTGCTGAACTAGTAACACACTGACATGTTTTGTTCACATGAAAAACGTTACTAATTGGCTGTGTCGGGTGGTGGTGGGTTTAACGGCACATTTATATATTTACGCGATTTAACCCAAAAAACATTGATGATGTTAAAATTTTGGTTGCAAAAGCCTACGTGTTAACTCTTTGGTTCTTTCGGTAAAGTCACGTAGAAAGAAAATAAATTAAATAATAGAATACGACGTTTCGATTGCAACACAAGCAACCGTCATTAGGTAGAACTAAATTTGAGAGAGAGACAAAACACAGACACGGAGACACACAGACAGACACACAAGCAGAGAGAGAGACAACACAGAGACACACAGAGAGAGACACACAACACAGACACACAGAGAGAGACACACAGAGACACACACAGAGAGACACACAACACAGACACACAAGCAGAGAGAGAGACAACACAGAGACACACACAGAGAGAGACACACAACATAGACACACAGACAGAGAGAGAGACAACACAGAGACACACAGAGAGAGACACACAACACAGACACACAGACAGAGAGAGAGACAACACAGAGAGACACACACAGAGAGAGACACACAACACAGACACACAAGCAGAGAGCGAGACAACACAGAGACACACAGAGAGAGACACACAACACAGACACACAGAGACCCAATGTGTTAAATCGCCTATTCCACGTTTCCTTTTAAGGCAGTAAAGTTGCGCAACATATTCGAATGCACGTTGAATAAGCCGAATTGAGAACCCAATGCAATGTTAGTAATAAAAGCAAGCGGACCCGAAGCGAACGCACTCTCATTTGTGAGTAGGTGGCGGTATGCGAGCTGTCGCAGCTATTCGTATTGGTGAAAGTCAAGCAGAGATGTTATCATATTTATTTTTACAAGTGTTATAAATATCGTGCAGTAGTACAGTGCACCTCAGAGGCCAGTTTTAAATGTGACACATTGTGCAGTCGAATCTCTTGCATAAATGGTTGAACGTCCACATGCTACAAAGTAACAACGAAAGTAATCTAGGGCAACTTCGTATATCCACTGCTGGATGAAGGCCTCCCCATAATGCACCATCGGTCATGTGGGGTAGTTGACCATACGTTGTCAAGCACATTTCGGTAAAGAGTAATTTCAAGTTTCATTGGCGCACTTAAATACTGGATAATAAAATAACACGTGTAAAACGAATATAATCTTTGTTAAAGACTGAAGCAATGAACATTACAATAATCATTAAAAAAAACTAATTATATTTTAGACATTTTCCAATTCACTGCTGTGGCAGTCGAACATGGCTGTTTTTATCATATCTCACCATGCTGGCCAGTGTGGGTTAACCATCATAATAAACTCCATTAATATTTCGATTTAAAGCTTTCGTGACTGCAGGGATTCATCTTCTACATTTATATTGCACCTTTTTACAAGGTACTCAAGTTGCTTTACATCACACACACAAACACATAAATAATACAGCACTTACCAGGGGGGGGGGAACTAAAAAGTATAGAAGCTAATTTATAGAACCGAACGCAAGAGACAATGCACGCGTCTTGAGGCGCGGGTTTCAGCGCCACCGCCGTTGTCACCAAATCACGAACAACGCTGTCCAGAGCCCTCTCCTGACGGGCAGCAGCGCAACACAAGGCACGCGCAACCCAATGTGCAACACCACATCCATCACGGGGAATGCACAGGGCCACTCGGACCATTGAATAACACAGTCTTCGGGATGGCCACACATACTGGGGTGAGTAAATCTGTACACTTTCGAGAGCCTCATTTGTAAGAAGGAATTTCTTGGGACTACAACTCTGGATTTTATAGAAAGCCAGCGAAGAGAGGCCAAGAGCGGACGGATGGATATGTTCGCATGTCCGGGACTCTTGATACAATTCTGGTAGCCGAGTAGAGGACGTATTGCAATTTAGGACTGAGGCACCAAACAGAGAGCACTGCATACGAGTTCTTTTGGGTTAGATCGTGTAACAATAAATGTGTCGTTAAACCCGCCACCACCCAACACAGCCAATTAGTCAGATTTGTCACGTAAACAAAACGTGGCAATTCGTTGCTAGTTCAGCACACCAGTGTGTTGGAGAGTAAACCCACAACATTTACCATTCGCGTACCGTGACGTTTTGCCGGTAATTACAACCAGCCTCGTCAGGCGACAGCCAGAGTTGTGGGGAAATCCTCCTGTTTCGTCAAATTTACGTTTAAGCGATCTAACCCAAAAAAAAACCTCTTATGGATAATATTGGTCTCAAAAGCCGGCATGTTAAACAGACAGCACTGCAATGATCAACGTTTTTGGGTTTAGATCGCGTTATTTATAAATGTGTCGTAACCCTCCACCACCCGACACGGCCAATCAGTAAAAAAATGTGTCACGTTGACAAAGACACATTTTTTACTGATTGGCCGTGTCGGGTGGTGGAGGGTTACGACACATTTATAAATAACGCGATCTAAACCCAAAAACGTTGATTATGAATACCATTGGTCGCGAAAGCCTACGTGTTAAACTGAGCACTGCAATGATCGATCCTTGAAAACACAAAGGCGTGGTGGATCACACCGTCGCCATCAGAAGCAGACAAGCAGGGTCTCAGACGAGCGATGTTTGTGAGGTGGAAGATAGCTGCTCCAGTGATGTTTTTTAACATGAGGCTTGAATGACAGCGGCCAAGCCGAAGACAACACCCGGATTTTTTTACAACGCCAAGTGGGGAAAACAAACGTAGGTCATCGACGGTGGCACGAACATTGGCATAAGAGCCCAAAGGCACACACACGTGAGTCTCCCGCACTGTTGAACTGTAGGAAATTAAACTGCTAACAATGTTTGATATCGCCAAAGCACAGCGTCAAAGACGATATGAAACTTTGATGAAATGTTAATGTTTGAGCGTCATTCGCGTACCAATGATATTTAATACCACTGGTGAAGAAGGAAGATTGCAAAGAGGGTGTCCAGGATTGGTTTAAATATTACGAGGCAGTCCTCGACTTACGAACGGGTTACGTTCCTGAAACCCATTCGTAAGTCGATTTTTCATATCTCGGAACTCAATATTTAATTGTACATACGGTCAGTGTTATAAAATGTGCTATGGTTCAACAAAAGAGGGAAAAACATTAGTTAAACTCAGAAATAAGAAGAAAACAATACATTTGCATAAATTATAGAAGCATGAAATGATTTTTTATTTTCACTTGCATTGAGTCCTGATGCTGGCTTGCTTGTCAGAATGGGCGTTTCTAGGGTGCTGGGCCTCATTACATCTCGCGAAGGATCCCTCCGCCGAACAACATAGTTCCGCGGTTGGGTTCGTTGGTACGACTGAGCGTTCGCACGGTCGGTTGGTTAAATGGCATCTTGAATAAAACCTCAGAGCGGTTCGTTCTTAAGTGCGGATGTTCATAAGTTGGAAATTCATATCTCGGGGGGGGGGGGGGGACTGCCTGTACTGATGTGAGCTGTGCTCATAAATCAATGTCGGGTGGCCAAATCCAGAGCGCAGTATTGCTGACCACTTCTAATACCTTAATTAACACCCCAAAAAACACAACATCGTTCCCTGCAATAGCATGCATATTTAGCATCGTATATACTATATGGTCCTGTATATACAGAATCTTTATATAGAGTGGAGGAGGAATTCGATGAGTGATGAAGCTCTCTTTCAAAGACGTAAAAGAGGTCAAGTTAGACCCTAGAAGCTGCAATACATTAGGTATATATTCGCCTGTACTGTATTGACATTTAAATTACTTTGAATACACGCAAAAACATAGCATTAAAATAGCATACGACTACATTTTAGAACTGTTATATTCCCAATTTTGTGTTCCAAGATTGACAGAGGTTGCCTAGCCCAAGCCAAAATACTGTACTGCATATGGAAACAATTTTGTTCCAAAGTAAGGCCATACATATCGCACAGCTATCGCGTTACAGAGCACTCTGAATAAGAAAAGCATTAGAGGATGTCCAAAAAAACCTCAAGTAAATGGCGAATATTAAATGTGAACAAAGATGATGCATGTTGCTGTGATACATGGTGAGCTGCGTACTGCTGTAAAATGATTCGAGACTAAACGTAGGCTTACCAGCAGTGACTCGAAACGCTATGTCGGATAGATACAAAATCCTGCCAATACCTGAAAATGATCCCATTTGTTCGTGATCTCCATTTGATCCCATAATATCAAATATGATTTACGTGGGTTGTATCAATTTATTTTATTTTCATGGCAAATGTATTACACTTTTAGGAATACAGTTCTGTACGGGGTTTTCGTGCATTAAGTAGCTGCACACTGATAAACATCTTTTTGATGCATTATATTTTTTTAGCATGATGGGTTACATATCATACTCTGTGTGCCTTTAACAATCTTAAGATAATGCAGCCTTAGCGGCTAGCGCGTTCACTGCTTATTGCAGATCTTCATGGTTCAAATCCAGCGCCCGCCCTGATTAATACCACGGCGTCTATTATCATTTAAAATATGAGGGCGTCGTGGTGGTGAGATGTTAATGACCGTGCTTGGTATACAGGAGGTCGTGGGTTCGATCATTACAAAAACATGCAATGTGGACGTTTAAGATCCCATGATGTCATTTGCAAGAGGAGGTCAATGTGTACCAGCATCATAGTTCAAATTTTCCATACTGAAAACTTACACCGCAAATTACACATGCATCATTGTCCTGAGCATGAAAAATTAGCAGGATGCTCCTTAAAAATAATCATGAGACTCAGTGAGGCTCTCCTAGTTGAACAAGAATAATAAAATCACTGCGTAGTCATTTTTATGGCATTTTTTTCTTTGTGCTGCATTCTGGAGATATGGGTTGTGAGAGGCAAACGTTGTGGTACTTGACAGCCGACAGCTGGGGTGGGGAACCTTGTCCTTACCGAGGGCCAAATGTGACTTTCAAATACCTTTGGCAGGCCACACATATACAAAGATCCCCCGTATAGCCTGTACAGATTGTTGGGGCAAGTGCTGTTATCGAGCACCTATGAAGGCCGGCACAGCACACACGGGGGTGGGTGGCCAACACCACGCCCGGCTGCCTGTGTCTCCCCAGTGGCGATGTTTACACACCGCACCAGGTACTCATTTGAGTCTGAGTCGACCTAGGGGAGGCCCATGACCGGTTCAGATAATCGTCACTGGAGTTGGCCGTGAGCGGGAATTGAACTCGAGCTGCCGGGTTTGTAGCGCTTACACTACCGCTCCCCCCGCACAAAACTACCCAAGTACACACACTAACAGACACACACACACCTCATTCCCTTCTGTCAATGCAAGAGGTCCTGCCTGGCAGTGTCAGAAGTGACTGAGCGTGCTCAGATTAGAAACACGGTTATTGACAGCTTGAAAACACCTCCCCTCTAATAGCCGATTAGCGCGGCTACAATGGATCGCAGTGAAGGATACATATCGTTAACAGGCTGCTTGAAAGTGCTCCTGGATCAAGTGACCTGCAGGCTGCAAGAAACGAAGACAGGCCGGCGAGCCGCAGGTTGCCTACTCGTGCTCTGAGCCTCTGAAGCATTTACACATTCGCCCACAAAATGAACTGGTGGCATTTCAACAGAATGCAGAATCCGATGCAATGTTTGTCTCTGCCCCGAACAACCACGACATTGTGTGTGTGGGTCATCCATTTTGTTTCCTCATGATGCATTCGTTTTTGCCTAAAACCGTTTTTTTTTTTTGCCAGAGCCTCTGATAGGCACTTACAAACAAACGCGATATTGGCTATCGGGCACCACAGCCGTGTCAGTGTCACTTGCAAGCGAAGGCAACAGGAAAGTTGCACAACCTTATTCAGGGTGGGTGGTCCGGCTGAGGCAGCAGACGGACGGTCCCGCACGCCTATTTCCAAATTGTCACTATCGCACGCGAACGACGTGTGAGCGCCGATAAAATATTAATGCCGCTCGTTGTCAGCGACATCGCCCTGATTAAAAATACATAAGGGAACAAAACCCATAATGGCATTGAATTGACTGCAACACGCACCCGTGAATACGTAAATGTGTTTCATGCCCTTAAAGCATATCCCATTACAGTATTTTAAGGTGTATCGACAACTTTTACCCAGCTGTTTTTGACATGCCGTCATTTTTTTATTGTATATGTTTAGTCACGTGCCCTACACCACCTGGCAGCGTAGCCTTTGTAACAAATATTCTGAGACCACCACAAACGATGTACTTGTGAAATTTGAAGCCTACACAATTTAACAAATCTATTCGATACAGTGTAACAGCCTCATCGTCGGCCACGCTCATCTATCCACTGAAATTGACGTCTCTCAGTTTTTCTATGGAAAAACCCCATCTCCCTCCTGCACACGAGCTCATTTCATTGCTCCATCCTCATGACGGACATGGTGCCAGGTGTGTCCTCACCTTTGGCTACCACCTGCCATTGGTAAGTCTCAACAAACGCCCACCATGCCTTCAGGTGATACGTCCATTTCAGGCCAACTTGCTTTTCTTTAAAGTCAGTGATGCCTCAAACTTGCATGTGTTCTTCCTGTCTCTCAATGTATTTCCAAGCATGTACCTCTCCACGTGTTTTTATATCACCGTACTATCACATTATATAACCTTCCTTTGATGATGCCCATTCAATATATGAACAGCAAGAATTCGTGTTTATATATATTAATACATTGTCTCAGGCCACTATTATGCAACCTAATCGTTATGCACTATGTTTCATATAAATGTTCGTATGCTGCGTTTAGCAAAGAGCAGCCCTTGCACGGTTAATGCAAACTACTGAAAGGGCCTATCGATTGCCCGGTACTGCATGCTTGCCAAGGCACACGGTGCATAATGGGCTCATAGTGATGGAAGGAAAATTGGCAAGCCATGATAAAATGAAAACCCGCGCAAACTTGTTACATACCTGACTTTCACAACCTTGTCTTTGTGGTCCCGATGAAAACCGAACGTGGTCCCATGAGCAAGCTCCTCGGCCAGGTTTTGCCCACTGGAGCTCCGACTGGCGCTTTCAGATTTGTTGGACCCGGTCACAAAAGACTTGATATTCAGCCGACTTTTCTTTCCATCCTCCTTTTTCCCCTCGTCTACTTCCTTCGCCTTCACTTTGTCAAACAGGTCCAGACCGACGCCTTTGCTGAGGTCCAGCGACCTCCGGGACTCCTTGTGCATTCCATCCTTCCCCGGTTCCGGCAGCGAGGTCGACTCCAGGACTTTGTCGCTGCCAGCTTTCTTGTCCCCGAAAAATCCGGCTTTCACGGCGTCGGCCTTACCCACGCTCGCCGTCTTCTGGATGGAGGGCTTCTGCTCCTCCGCGTTGTTGATGTTCTGCAGGGATCGCGACAGGGCGATGTTGGGTTTGGGCTGGGCCTGGTTCTGCCCAACGGTGGCGGCTGCGCCCTTTTCCGGCACGTACAAGTGGCTGCCATTGATGCACAGCGAGGACTTGGAGGCCGTCTCGGATTTCGGCTTCAGGCCCCCGAAGAGGTTTCGCTCTTCCTTGACGGGCAAGGCCATCGTTATGTCGGCACTCTGCGTCCTCCTTCGACCCACGCTGCCTGCGGGACAAATTTCACTTGAAAATATTGATCGACATTCCCTGCAGACTTCGCACAGTACGATACAATTTGGGTTAATACGGTGAATAAATGCGACCACATCTTCGAGACACTGCACATAAACAGTGGCCATTTGTTTTTCTATCTGCGTGCAGGCATAGGCAGAGGAACCAAAGGAAGGTCTTGAGGTGGGATTTGACGGCATGGATGGCAGGGTGAATGGAGTTCAAGTTTACAGGGGCAGCAGCATAGGAGAATGAGCGGTCTCCCACTTGCTGCAACAGAAAGCCTTGGTTGGTGGAGTGAAGAACATGTGGTAGGGGCTTCATAATGTGTTGGAAAAAGACACCACATTATTGTGATGTCAATAGATATAAAAACACATTTGCTAGTTATGGCAGTGTTGATAAACACTGTAGTGTCATTTCATTAATTTGTTTATCGTAATTTTTTTATCATGACAATAAGTGTGTTGCTAATTCTAGGTGCGTACAAAAGTGCAGTAAAATATAATAAAGGGAGCAGACAGTCGAGTAATAGGCATGAAATCAGTTTCATCATAGCACGTGAATAATATCTGGATGGATTCATGGATTTGGTGGAAATACCTTTAGAAATAACCACAGTCATGATTTAATCGTTACTGTTTTAGAACGCAAGTGGAAGATTGATGTGCAGCGATTAGGAATGGCATTAACGTTACCTCGGAAGAGGTGCATATGAAATGAGGGAACAGATTACGTGTTGGCAAAAAAAAAAACTTACATTGCTAGGCTTTCTTTGGAAAAAATAAATGAGGATATAGTGTACGGTGAATGTTTCAGATTAGACGTCTTGCATTCACTCCAGAAATCACTTTAAAGATATGTATTGTATAAAAATACGATTGAAAAATCAAGGCAATTGAATGACCTATCAACAAATAATCATGAGTTGAAGCCCTTTGTCAATCCGGTGCTGAACGACTCCCGATGCTGTATTGGAGAGTGTACATGTTGATGGAAGACAGTGCGGATTATGGGGAGGAGGTCGTTTGCAGGATCAGTTAACATCTCTTACCATTGATCTTAGCCATAGCTAGGTTTTTTTAAACATACATTTTTATTGATGCACTATTACAGTATTGTCTAGATGATGAGACGTTAAAAGTTATACAAATCTGGTCTGACACACACACGCACCTTCCAGATTATAAGATGCACCATCAACTTCTGCTTTAAAATAGAGGGGGGAAACGTTTTTTTGCTATATATAATCTGAAGTGTATGGTGGTACATGCCTAATTGACCGCTCCTACATCCTCACCAGTCATGTCTTGCTCTGGAGCCAGCTCAACAGGTGGGGGAGTAATGACGGTTGTCACCCCGACCCCAGCGCCCGGGCCGGAGGACGGGAGTCCCAGCGGCGGCAGCGACGGATCAGGGGTGGACGGGATGGACACGTGCGAGGAGGAAAGTGACGAGGATGAGGAGTGCGTCACCGAGGTTCTCTTCATGCCCGGCAGCGTCAGGAAGCTCCTGCCCTTCGCCTTCTTCTTCACCTCCTCTTCCCTCTCCACATCCTCGTCCTCGTTTTCACTGTCGATCCGCAGCACGCCGGGGACGATGGCCGACGAGGAGTCGGAGGTGCTGCCCTTCTTCTTGCCCTTCACCTTGTCCTTGAACTTGCCGAAGGCGGAGCGGGGCTTGTCACGCGCCGACAGGTCGAACATGCTGGCCGTCAGGTTGTTCCTCATGAAATGCGCCGAAAGCTGCACCTCGCCCCGGTCCTTCTCTTTCTTGCCGGCTTTCGAGTGTAACTTGTACCACCTGCGAGGAATGCCAACGCAAGGGGGAGAGGTTTAAGGGTGGTGTAGCGCCGACTCGTCAGACTGCAGTTACCTCTGAGGCAACTCGGCCTACCAGCATGACCAGAGGTCAGCAACCTGCGGCTCCGGAGCCGCACGAGGCTGTTTAATGGCCGCTGCGTGACCGTTATGCACGTGCATTGTGGCTCTTGAAATATTGAGCTTTTTTTTTACAAATTCGAAATAAATTACTCATCTTGTTTTTTTGGCTGCAAACCCAACGAGCCTGACTGTTTCACCTCATCCAAGGCTACTCAGAGGTTCCTGGAGGCCTAGAGCAGAATGCCAACTGGGGCCTCCTTATTCCTTAGCAACATCAACAATATAGGCCCGTTGTGGAGTCCTTTCATGTGTGAGGCCAGTGGCAAATTGCCCCTTTTGTTCCTCCTCCTCCTCCGAGTGGCCCTGGTCACATTCACTCTGTGTTCACCACCGTGCTGCAGGTCAAAACACTTCTCTTTCTGCTTGTCTCATTGCACTGCTCGACTTGGGCATTCCCTCCCATCATCTCTTTTCCCAGCTTCTCACAACCTTGCTCAATGCAAGACACATTAACTCGTGTCTGTTATACTATCAACAGTGCTGCTTGTTGCTAGCCATTTGTCAATTTTGGAAGTTTGGGCCTGTGCAGAGCAAATGTGATTCGAAATGAGTAACCCTCTGAAATTGGTAATTTCATTTGTTGGCATCAGGCACTGCGAGTAAGATACAAATGTGGGTCATGTCTCTCACACATGAGGGATTCTTATTGCTTTTAAATATTCTTGAATGCCCATTTTTACAGTAAATCCCCACGGAGTGAAGTCTTAAAAATACAATTTTTTGGTTAATATTGAAGTGGCTAATGGACAAGTCCTAGATTACTACACTACAATACCGTAAACTATATGGTTATAATGTCGTTTGTAGCGTGTACGTCTTCTGTGCATTATAAATATAGCATGCAAACGCTAGACCACATTTTTTTTTCTCCCAAGACATTCCAGACATATCTTTGCGATAGCCGCGGGCAGTGGGAACGGGAAACCCTGCGCCCATATTCAGTGTACATTTAACCGTAACTTGAGCAATAAATAGGGATTAGCTTTACAAGGAGAAGAGCGCCTATTGTGTGCGTGCACGATAAAACCCCCGAGACGCATCCATTACCCTACACACGGCACTTGAAGATAAGGCAACCTCTGTTAATACTGTGGCGTGCTTTTTTTTTAGTTGTAAACAGAGCGTGCAAATACGAAACGTGGGATGAAAAAAAAAGAGTTGCGATAAACAGGTCCTCATCGTATGTAGCAGCAGACACGTCGCGACATCGAACGACGAAGTGAACGGGGAGGGGTGGTGGTATTGGGACGCAGTACTAATTCAGCGTGAAAAAATTAACCCGTAAAAACAAAGTTTTTCACTATTAATCCTTTATATGCGTGGCATCGGTTTTATTTTATTATTCATTTCTGTTTTTCTTGAGTAAGAGTTTCATTGTGATCACATTGGTATTTTAAATTAAATATGAAAAAAAAATCCTAAAAAGTGGAAAATTTTGGAAAAAATTTTTCACGAAAATAAATTGTCACGCACAACGAGTCTGTGTGCAAAATGTCAGCTCGATTGGATCACGGGAAGTGGGTTAAAAACGACCGAAAGATTTGCACGGTCGTAAGCGCGTAAGCAAGCAAGCAAGTGAACTTAATATAAAGGATTTAAAAAGAGTCGCACTTGCATCATTACAAAAGCATTCACATCAGCCGTTTGACCAGTTTGTTGACAATTCGATATCGACGAGCAAACTGCACATTGCTGTATGTAGGCTGCACCAAAAAACGGGCGCTGACAACGCATCCGATAATTTGCTTGCGATGGAGTCAAGGTGGTGGTGGTGGGGGTGCGGGAGTTTATTCTCCTTCCAATTTTCGCTCTGCAGTGGAGGATTTCTTTCGTAATGCAAAAACAAGTGGCAACGAGCAAGTGCTGATTGGATGCAATTTGCTTACTGTTATCTGTTGTTGGCAGGCCTGTCTTGAGTGCGAGCATTAAGCCACCGCGGACTGCGCCGTCAAAGTGGAACTCGTAATGTATCATGAGCTGCACTAAGCCACGCTTAGTATGAATTAATGATGCTCTGCCAGCCAGACCGCCACACATCTAATGACCTTGCAATGACCATATTTATGAACGCACCGCCGAGTCTCCAGTTCCTATCCCAATGTAATAGCGGACGGCATACACGGCGAGCTTTAGTGCAGGTACGATTGCATTTAGATGTGGAGGCAATTGTATTTTAAAGAATAAATTGTCGTTTTCCTTGCGCGACACAGTGTCGTTTAAATGCTAAAAGAAAAGTACAAACCAAATCTGTTCATGATCATTTATGAAACAGCCCCTAGGGATTTCAAATGAAGGCAGCGCATGGTCATCCTGGTTCAGATTGACTCAGAGGGATCTATTTCCCCAAGAGAGGCCAAGCAATCTGGTGCAAAACAGAATAACTGCACTCACATTTACATATTACAGTAATTTTTTTCCCATTTGCATACATTCTCAACTCTCATCATCATCGTCATCATCGGTCACAATCAATCCACTGCTAGATGAAAGCCTCCTCAAACCATCGCCATCCTTTAGTCCCACAATGCAACAAGCCATCGAGCCAGAGAGAACGTGGGGTTATTTTATCACTTCCTTCTTCGGTTGCCGCTCTTGTTAAGCTCGACCACCGGTCATCACCTCTGCGAGCAACTCCTAACTTCCCCTATACAGCTTTCATCTCTCACTGAAATCAGAAGTTCAGTTTTATGAACGTTGTATTATTGGCCTGAGCACAAGAGAAAAAATGCTGTAACACATTCCTGCTGCGGAGGGAGCTGGTAGTAACGTTGGGTTGCTCGGTCAATGGCCAGGGTCAACGGCGGCGTGGTGTATTCCGCAAATATGGCCGACTGTGAGGGCGGGCACAAGCCGGCGTGAGTAGGTTAAACGTTGAGTTTTATAAGGGCACCACGGGGTGACCAGCCCCTCCCCACCCAGTCCCACCCAGCCCCTCCCCACCCTCCCCTCCCCACCCAGCCCCTCCCTCCCCACCCAGCCCCTCCCTGCACGACGGACGGACACAATAATCCCCTGTGGGCTGGTGGAACCAGGTGGTTCCTACCAGTAAAAACTCTCCATTGTATATATGATCCACATGAACGGCAATTTAATGCATCTCTCAATGAGTTTTTGCTAAAACTGCTATATATGTAACCTAAAGTATTAGAGTACTATACATTGCTTTAACAAAAGATAATTTCAAACAGATTACATATTAAACACAGGTTATTGTTTCCATTATATTTCAAAGAAACATTTTTTAAATGAAAGAGTTCTTTGAGCCACAATCTATCACAAAGCAAATGCCTTCTCATTGTTGGCAATGCTAAATATTTTAAGATTCTTACAAAAATATCAACAATAAAAACATAATCCATGAAAACAAAAAACCCACGAGGCACGTCGCCCCGTTCTTTTCTCTGGATCACCTACCAATTTAAATGTGCCAGACTCTGGAAAATCGCCCGACTGTTTTTCAGTGCAATACATAATGAGGGCAACACATCTGCTCCGTGTTTCAGATGCTCAAACAATGGCCTCTTTAGAAAAGGAGCAGAATGGAAAGCTCTTTAAACGTTTACCTGCTGGGCAAAAGGTAAAGGTGCAGGGCCGCAATTTCTCGCTCATGCCACTGCTGGACAAAGTGGGCCTCCACTTGCGGAAACGCCAGCGTCCTCACCGGAGGCAAATTTGGCCTACTCGTCCACACGGGCCAGACGTCTTTGAAGAGATGGCGATAGCCAACCTTTACCCCGCCACGCACGACCTTCCGATGGAACAAGTGGTGCGTCAATTTATACTGCTGCGTGTCCGGAGGCGGGGAGATGTGAGGAAAATGTCCAACGTTTTAACTCCCCGAACTGGAAGATCGAATCGAAGACCTCTGAATTTCAAGTCATGCCTGCGAATCATTGTGCCACGGTGGCATCCAGTGTTTACATAATATCTTTCAATATTACGCTACCTCCTATTTTGCCTCAAATAGAACACTGCCATTGGAGAAGGGCAACTCTGCAACAAAATGCAATGCGGCATATGTTAATAAACCACGGTGTACCGTATTTTCTAGAAAAACAACGCTTTATTCTGCACTGCATTTCGTTTCGTGTACTGCGTAAAGTTAATGGCTGCTATTACTGTGAACAATAAATAAGTGTGCATAATTGGTTCAATTTGTTGCATTTACAGCATGTGAAATTAAGAGACCACCACCCCTTCCCACCTACTCACAAAACATTAGCGAGGGAGAACAGCGTGCGGAATACGTGCTCAATTATCTCACAAATCTACGTGGTTTGCTCCTGGCAACACAAGATATAATTTAGCTTCACGGCCCCTTAAACAACAATCTGCAGGAACATTTGATGGGACTTCCCAGCACAGCAGGATACGAAGCACATCGCACTAATGGGCCTTCATGGAGGACGAAGCAGACAAACACACACACGGACTTGCTAGAATCGTTCGCGTGAGCATATTGGCACAATGCGGGAAGTTGCTGTATCTCTGTGTTCACATGCCAGGAAAATGACAGTGACACGGTGCTAGTGTCGCTATCTCACACATTGCCTTACTGCAGCCGCATAACGGATGACACAGCACCCACAAGAACGGAGGAAGGTTGCCTGCGGTATCATGTATTCTTTCCACATGCCACGGCAGTGAAACGCTCAGCAAATGACCGTTTCCTACAAATATCAAATTGATCGTTGACATGACCGGTTCATATACAATATTACGTGTAAAAATTATGATTAATACAAATCTACAATCCCTTAATATACTGTTGGGTGAAGGCCTTAACCACACTCTCTTGGTCGTCGGTGTTTTCTGAGCAAGCTTCACCATGCTGGTCAGCGTGGGTTGGGGAAGAGTGGG